CACACAGGAAGAAGGCACGTACCCCACGCGGAACAAAAACCTCTAATGGATATCCACTAGATGTTCATCATGGAGATTCGAAACCTCTATTAGATATCTATGTAATCTCCTATAGATGTCTACTAGACATCGACAGTTCCGCATTACATACCTCCATTCGACATCCATTAAATATATTCATAGATATCATATGGAGCAATCATAGATGTTCCATAGATATTTCATAGAGCTTTGATAGATTGTAGTTTCAATTCGTCATTAATAAAATTATTTGGAAGTAAAGTCACAAATATGATTGCGAGATAGTCTTGTTTATGTAGGTGTTAATAGAATGTCACGACTGTGAGATAGTCGAGAACATGATGACATTCTGTTAACACCTACATAAACAAGACTATCTCGCAATCACATTTTTTACTTTACTTCCAAATAATTTTATTAATGACGAATTGAAACCACAATCTTTCTACTAAACAGATTTGTAACGTTAGCACTGAAGATGGCTGAATGATCAGCCAAAACGTTTGACATCAACGATGCCCTAACAATATTCGTTACTATGGATACTGATACTTCTATCAAACATCAATAACAGATGTCTAATAGACATTTATGATGGATTTATATCGTCATTTATTATGGAAATAATATGGATTTCTAATAGAAACCTATCTAATATTCATCGTAGAGATAGATGTAGTATGGAGTTATGGAGATTATATGGACGTTCATTGGATATTATGTTCCGTGCGGGACGTATCTTTCTAGCATAACTCGGAAAATACTTAATGGAACGGAACTTTATTATAATGCTTTGAAAAGCTGTTGAGGTTAGCTACAAGAATATGCAATAAAAAAAAATAGGGGCTTCCATTTAAAAATTTCAAAGTGATTTTTACGTGACCTTAACAACGCTATCCAAGGTCACACTAACATTGCTGTGTAATGCGCCACTTAAAATCCAACAACTTTCGTATGGAACATTTTTCTCGAAAATGCTTTATTTTCGAGATATTTGACCGTTCCAGGACTTTTTGGATACCCTGTATAACACATTAATGATGTATGTGATGTATTTGTAACAAAACATACGTAGTGCATTTGAAATCAGTCGTAAGACACTTGGTTTTTTTCTAACAAGTACAAAATTTTATATAAAATATTAATCTTTTGATTGCGGAACATTTTAACTGAGTCGAGCGCAGTACGCGGCGCCGAGGTTTGCATATCGGCCGCTGCGACGGGATAGCAGTTTTATTATTGTCACTGTGTCCGATTGGACCTGTGTCCGATTCATTCAACCTGCTGTGTCTGATTTATTCTATGCGCAACTGGGACATAAGCCAACGGCACACGGTACGTTTTTGCTTACTGGATTGATTGCGAGCTAGTAAAATATTAGAAATACACCATTCAGTATACAGTATTTTTAGTAATTTACTAGCTCGCAATCAATCCAGTAAGCAAAAACGTACCGTGTACCGTTGGCTTTACTCATTTTATCGCAGTAATATTATGTAATACAGGGCTCGGAATTATTTCATCTTTTCGGCCGATTCTCGTGGTATACATCTCCTTTCCTCTCCTTACCGCGCGCGCGGCAATCGCTAGGGCCAGCGCCGCCGAGTGTTAGGAGCGGCGCTATCCGATAAATGTTGAGTTCTTCTCCCTTGATTATTAAAAGTTAAAAAATTTATTAAAAATATTTTTTTTATTTTAAAATTTATTATGTGGAAATATTTCAATAGATTTCCACGTCACCCATGAGGTACTATTGCTATTGAGGAAAAAAATATTGTTAATAAATTTTTTTAACATTAATCGGATAGCGCCGCTCGTAACGCTCGGCGACGCTGGCCCTAGCTGCGGCGCGCGCAGTAAGGAGAGAAAAGGAGGCGTATACCACAAAAAACGGCCGAAAAGCTGAAATAATTCCAAGCTCTGGTAATACGCTGCAATAAAGATTAAAAAAAAATTTTTTTGAAAAAATAAGATTTAACCAGCAATATGCAGCGTAGTAATCAGGCGCATTATCCTAAGCCACGCCGCTTAGCTGTCAATCTGTTCTTATTGCACGATACATTACGCGCACGTAAATCTTTAAACGCGTTTTTCGCGAATGCTTGAGAAGTGGGTCTTATTATTTCACGATGAATTA